GATGCGTTGATTGATTTGGAGAAATAAAATAAACTGATCAAGATATTTCTAGAGGATACAAAATTGTGTTAGCTCTGGCATTTAGTGAGTGGTGAGGTGGAATGGGAATTGTGTGGCTGCTTGTACGAGATCGGACTATTGCCTGCCCACTGAGCGCACATGGATCCTCCACTAAGACACAGTATACTAACTCGGAGGCGACCAATCCGTGTTTATCTCCTTATGCCGAGACCCAGGAGGGCTAACAATAAGTGGCTAAGTGAGTGAGTTGGTTGTAACGCCGCTTTAACATTGGTCCAGTTATATCATGACCTGTCAGCTTCCTGTGGGAGGAAAGCCCGAAATGATGCAGGTGTTAGACGTTTACCACTTTGATGAAACCCACGTCCATGGGCATGGTAAACCTAGAAACATAATCGGGGTGAACCGGGGCTCGATACATCAATCCTAGGTTCCTGGCGTGCCCAAGGGACGTAACTCTACACAGCCAATTGCAATGCCATACGACTGGGCCGACCGTGCCCCCGTGAAAACGGTTAGCATCTCAGGTGGTACCATGAAATTATGTTACACTTTCTACGTGAAACAATTGATATTAACATATATCGATAATATATTCAATAACTGTAGTACTAGTCTCTATCTTTCAATTTTCCAATTTCAATTATAGTCTTTAACACACAATCAATCACAATAGTCAAATCTTAATTATATTGGACGTCTTATTGATGTTATAAGGTCAAACGTCATGAACTTGGACCATGACGGCAGATATTCGATATATCGTTATATATAGTAGGACAAACAAGGATTGAGTTCGACTGTTATTAGCACGCTGAAGGTTCTACTGAAGGCAACAGTTGGTCGGAGAGGACGCCTGCAAGTTATGAAAGGATCTTTGGGCTGAAAAGGAATGGGGCTTTGATGTGGCATGTAGCTTTTGCTTGTGTCGCTTGTCCCCCAATTTTCCAGTACAGTGGGTGTACCGGGCGTGGATATTGCTGGAATATTGGTAAATGGCACTTACCCTAACTCACTCAAAAGGAAAGCTACCCCTTCCTACTTGAAGCAGTCCGGTAACATATGCAGGCTATTCAAAAGATATTACCAAAAATAATTGCAGAACCTTTCATGAGTCCAGTAAGTTTATATTCAAAATGAAAGCCAAGGCGATGTGGACTTAAACAGGAAGTTACTCTCATGTATGTCTGTACTTTGAGGTGTAAACACCAAAAGCATAAATAGTTTGCACATCTATTCATTAAAAAGCCCGATGATGTTTTTAGCCTGATGTAAGGATGAGACGGTTGTCGAAGTCGATGTTCAGAGACGTACGTATTGCGTTCGCCATAATACTGTCATATTCCTGTAATATCTGCAAATGATCGGTGCAGTGTATGGTTGCATAGATGACTTTGCTGATGACTGCAAAATTATAATTAAGATATTTTGTCATAAACGTTCAAACAGAACTGTTCAGTTTCTTGAACTGTAATCTGATGAGCTAGACTGATGTCGTTTTTTGTGTGCATTGTTATGATTCTGGTGGATAAATCACTTGTATTCCGTAATTTACCTGATAGATGTCATCATAATAGTAATGTATTGCGTTTTACTGTAACTTGAATTATCATCCTTAAGGGCTAGAAAACTATATACACAAATGTGTTAGAGAGGATAACGTTTAATAGTGGAATGTGCATGCCCGTTTTATTAGAACTGATTTACATTACACCAAGAAGTGGAAATGTACCTGTATGCAAAAGAAATCTGCACTACTATATGGAATCAGGCCACAAAAGAGCGCTTGTTTTTTCATGCAAATTGTCTGAATGGTGGGTGCTGCTGGAAAGGCAGGACAATACTTACCCTTTTCGCGAACATCTAGTGTCATCACTGATTTTCAGGACTCCTTTCTCAGCTTTTTTACCCTTAACGCAAAGGGCGTGTTTCGACGGATGATCTAGACTGGTTATTATTTGCATTGACAATTTATTTTGTAAAGTTATTACGTTCTTATCAGAGTGTTTATTTTTTTGTGCCGAATGGAATATGTTTCCGCTGATAATCGAGACTGGATATTCTCATCATCAAAAGTTCCCATCATCGACGCCTTATTTATGATACCAAACCTGAACAATGTTTAATTAGGAAAGCATAAGCACCTTTGCTTTATTGGAGTTTTCACAAACATAAATTAGAATATAATCATCATTTCGTTAGGCCAGAGAGTAAAGTTTGCAAGCTTTAAATGTGAAGCTATTCGCTTACACAAGCTAAAGACAGATAATTTCCCACATCCATCTGATGACTAAAATTGCTCTGACATTTAGCTTGACTGAAGATAGACCCAAAAGGCTTTGTTCTGTTTTTCAAATTTGATTAAATGCCAAACCAATTCTAATTTCAAATAAACTTCCTGCCTAGTATTGTTTGTGTTCTTGAAATGCCATTTCCTTTATAGGAGCTGTATACAAGTTTGAAAGTGAAAGGAAATTGTGAAATTCTTTATTTTTCCCCTCATAAAAACACATCGAGCTTCTCTGGTCCGCCTTGACCCGTTTTGTTCTGTATAGAACATTGATCAAATTCAAAACCATATAGTCGATGCAATCGTATTATTGACTTTCACTCATAAGTAAACTAATCCGATCGGATGACATGTGTGAAATATCAAGTTTAAACATGACAAATTATAATTAATGCAGTCACGTTGATACCTCTGAGGCAACATTGTATGAATTAATAGTCTCTCTGTCGATTGCCATGCTGATTAATATGTAAATTTTACAGCTTCATGCTGATAATTCTATGCCTGAACAAAATCATTGCCCGATTCTGAATGCATTTTTTAGTGATTATTAATGACAATTATGTCTATTTGCATAACACAGTAAGACTCTTTTTTCACGACTTACGTTGCTCCAAATCGTCGATGGTCGAAAACGGAAAAAATAAATATATTATCTAAATGCGTTGTTTAATAAAATATATTTATTAAACCTGTTGTTCTAACGATAGCCAATCAAAGTTTTGACTGATGAAAAATTTGAAATGTGTTATGGATAAATGTTCACAAAATTCACGATAAATGTCGGTCCTAAATGAATGTGATCCTCCCGAAACTTTCTGTGTTTGTTGTTTAACGCCTCACTATACAATATTTCAGCTACATGACGGCGGTCTGTAAATAATCGTGTCTGGACCAGACAATCCAGTATTTGACATAATAAGCATCGATCTCAGCAATTGGGATACGCTGACTGCACATGTCGCATGTACTCTGCAAAACAAAGAAACGCAAAAGATTTTACATGTGTATTTTATATATCATATAAATAATCAACAGAAGGTAACTGATTGTTCAAAATTAACATACATCATTTTCATTGACCCAGGTTCCATATGGCATACATGAAACGGTAGATTTTCAAGGTGAAGGTCAACTGTTCTCAATATCTGGTCCAAACCTGACAGGTATCGTTCTGCCATGGAAGCAATCAGATCACGAATTGTGGCCTGGGGAATGTTTACCAACCCTGCTGCAGTGTTTGTGCCAACTATCGGAGGTTCTGTGGTTGTTGCTGACAAACTCGCAGTCGTTGATTCAGTGCATCTCATAAATGTTCGACTGGGTTGAAATCTGGATTCCTGAAAAAAAGCCTTCGTCGGTCTTACCGTGTGAGGTCGGACGTTGTCTTGTTGGAAAATGACGTTCGCATAATGGCTGAAGAATCTCATCCGTGCAACGTTGTTCCCAAGAAATCCCAAGAACTTCAATCAAATCTGGTCACCAGTGTAGGATTTGGTTGATCTGTCCGCTTCCTGTATGCTGTTTCGTGCATAACGTTCCCTGCGACGCCTGTAAACACGACGACTACCATCAGCACAGCGAAGCATAAAACGTGACTCATCACTAAACCAAACTTATCTCCATCACAGTTGTGGCCATAATCTGTGACCTTTGACACCACTGCCGTCGCAGCCGACGACGCATGTCCTAAAAATTGACACCTCGAACTGGTCGTCCAGCTCGAATACCTTCAGCGCGTAAACAGTTCCCCACTTTCTGTGCTGATATCCTACGCAATCCTCGTATTGCCGTAGTTGTAGAGGTGGGCGTGGTGTTTTTTTCACGAAGGTGACGAAGACTTATGAATCTGTCCTGTGCTCTGGTGTAGTCCCGTGTGTCTGATAACGGTTCCAGTCTTGTGATGGTGCTTGAAACTATGAGCCTTGCAACAATGTATCTTTTTAGGCAGACTACTTTTTTCCACCAGCCTGATGCATTTTTTTCAGGCATTTTCTGGGACCATTTACTTTTTAATTTTAAACCAAAACGGGGATATAACTTCATTTTTGTGAAAATATTATTCAAGTTTTACGTAGTTTTCCCTCTTTAAACCAACATATTACAGTTTAAGCCTTTAATGCTTCGAAATGCGATAAAAAATCAGTATAGGATGTTACCACCTCGCTCACGTGTGCCAGCTAAAATCTCCTCATTACCTTAACCAGAGACAACATACCATTATGTGTTCTCTTCCTAAACGTCGTGTAAGTGCTGTTGGGACTGTTGTCATTTTTGATAGAACTCTGCACAGGATCCCTGGGTGTTCTGCCAAGGCGGTTGTCTTGGTTGTATTTTGCCCATGATGTTCCATGTGCAGGAAATAAGGTTCAAGTCGGACTATGTGCAGGTCATGGAGAATTCAACTGCAGCTCATTCAAGAACAAGACAACGTTCTTTGATGTACCATGTTCAATCCTTGAACTGAGCAAATGACTTTTTCATTGGTCTTCCAGCTGATGTCCAGCATATTATTTTAATCATTTCCTCACAGACCCTCTGGACCTTACAAGATTCAAATCTCGATGTATCTGTGTACTGCAGTAATGTTATTTGCTTTGAGAGTCTTTCAAATTACAGTACAACTGTACAGGTTCTTTTTGATTTGACAATTCTGGGATTGCACAAAATAAATTCAAAGAATATTGGGCAATGTCAGAATATTTTATTCAAAATAATTTTGCAAATTCAAAAGCTAACAATTGTTCATAACCAACTTGCATACTAAGTCGTTTATCAAGAAATGTGACATTTCCTTCACACATGATTACTTTCTAACCTCATATTCTTCCGACACCCTCAAGTTTTAATAATGATGCTCGGTACAATCTGCTTTTTCTACATTTGTTACAGATCAGTATGCTGATGGTGCCTGTTACACATAAATGAATGTGCCTGCATCTAATGCACCGCCAGATATGGTGATAGCTCCCCATCCACTGTTACATGTTATGCTTGAGGGAGCATGCAAGACAAAATTGCCTCCAATAGTTAAAGAGTGTATTTTAACGTGTGTTGTTACTATATGACAAAAGCAGTTTGTGATTAAACAAGGTGTCAGAATACACTCCATTATACCAATGTCTCCATGCTATTTGTTATAACATGGTATTATGCATCCCTGTTTTATAACTTAAGTTTGAGACACAGATTTACATACAGGTTGTCATAATCAGGTGTCATACCATGTGATAACAAAAAGCTATTCATGATAATCCAATATCAATTAGTTATAACACATAACTGGTATATACAACAACCCCACATTCAATATTCGTTTTACATATATATGTATAAATACTAAAATCACTTCACAAAAATAAAGTGGGCAGTATGATTACTGTACTTCAGTGCTGTTAAACTAAAGGGCAACATGAACAAGGACTATGTGGAGTACCCAGTGGCAGTGAGGTGCAACTCTAAAGCCTATTAAGGTATGGTATCTTCGGGCAAATGACCTTACTGGTCATAGCCAACACATCTTGTTAAGATTAATTTACAGCACATAATCAATAAAAAGCTATGTCTACATATGGCGTAGCAGTACTGATCATGATACATACATAGCTGTGTTTTTTACAGGCCCTGGTCTTATGCCTGACTCAACAATGTACAACAATGTCTAGTCCAGATTGGACTATTGACTAAGGAATCACCCACCATACATTCACTGTCAAAGCATTGCAAGACCCTTGAGTGTGCAAAACTTTAGCACCTTTTGTCCCATTATATGACAAAGTTGACTGTCATGAAATTAAATATATCAAAACAATTGTCACAGACATACAAGACATGATCTCAAATCATTTGATTGTTCATTCTTCACTGGATATCGGAGAAGTGTGAGGGGCTAGATCGTATGGTATTAGCCAAATAGGCAAGTTATTTGAATCTATGTTAAATGTATGGGTGTTATGAATGTATTAGCCATAAGATCACATTTTTAAAGGGACTTAGGATCAAAGCCCGTTGTATATAGAATGACTTAATAGGTGTGAATATCTTTTTTGCCCCTCTGAGAGAACCTCCCTCCAACATCATTAGCAAGTGGAAACTTCCTGATCATCAGATATACACAATGACATATTTCACAAATGATATGCATATTGGATTAAGTGAAAATAATTTGTCACATACAGCAGAAGGTAAAACCTTTAAAGTTCATACAGGAAATGAAAGTCAGACTTCATGCATACAATTAGAGGTTTTAATCATTTTAATCCCCTTAGTTGATTAGTCATAAAATAAAGAACATTAAGAATTTGTAGCTACATGATCACTATTCAAACTTTACTTTAACTTTAGTCCTTGAAGAATCAACAAAGCAAACAAAACAACTTCAAGATAATGTAAATATATTGTTCCTTTCTCTGTGTTTTGTATTTAAAGTTAAACTTGTTCTGAAAAGAATATCAGGAAATATACAGTTGACAAGTTTTGGCCTTCCAAATAGTTTTTCCTTTGTTTATTAGTCAAATTGGAACATGATACATACAGCAAAGTCCAACAAGCACCAATCAATACTCCCTTGGGAGGCTAAATACATTGCAAATGTATTGTATACTATCACCTTTCTTCAAAAGATATAAATTCTCCAGCATTAATAATGTGAAGTTGAACATGTTGGCATTGTACTAAAATATAGCAACAAAATAAAAGGATGGAGCCATAAGGCTCTGTAGCTCACATACAATTTCTAAAAATACACAAGGTCAGAAAATCAGATCATTTGAAATGATGATAATAGGCCTCATGCTTCCAGAGGTGTTGAAAATGTAACACAGCAGAAATGCTGCTCAACAGAAGTTCAATCAAACTTTAGGTTTGATTTGAGCAAAATATTTAACTTGAGGTACCTTAAGCTACTCCAACACACAAAGAGATAAAAAAAAAACATGACATCAAGACACATTCAGACCACCCATTCAAGCAAATCACTGAAAATATCAATCCTGTACAGGTGTTTCATAAATACTGAACATTAAAATCATAAACCTTATTGGGTTTGCTTGTCAACCATCTGAGACATCACTTATCACTTGAATTAAGGACAAGAGAACATTCCATTTATGATATGAAATTAAGCATGCAGCATGTGATAAAATATGCATCATATTGTAACGAATGTGAACATGAATACTGATGCGGAGAAACTATTTATAAGGCCTGATCCTAACAGGCAATAAATAAATGAAAACATGTAAAAATCTTGGCATTACTTCAGTTGGGTAATGGCATCGAAGTGGCAAGCAATTACCAATACAGGAATGTCATCCACATAATGTATACCGTATCTCAAAGATGCATATTGGCAGGGAATACATTCACTGCACAAAGTGTGTCCAAACCTGTCTGCAGTACATTAGCACTTGTTAATAGATGGATGCAAAGGTTATCCTTCTATGGCACTTTGACAAACATGACATCTTTTCCTGGGTGGCATCGCTCAATATGAGGGGTAACCTCAAAATCTTGTAACGGTCTAAACTGTGGACAGTAAGGGCAACAGAAACCTTGCTGTGAAATCCTTGAATGACCAGTTTTTTTCATTGACAAAACTGACCGAGCTGGAATGCTCTGTTTAGGTCTTGGGTGGCTGGCAATGGGGACAGCATGCCTGCTTCCATGTGACCTCTCTGCTAAAGCCTGAGCTACAGTCTTTGCACTTGATGGTCTTGGGGGTTGAGAAACAGGGACAGATAGAGATGATGTGTTCACAGGAGTCTGGGAATGCATCTGAGGTAGCTGTTGAGGTGGAACACTAAGTCTAGTACCTTGATGCTGTGGTAGGTGTGCAAGCACAAAAGAGCTACCAGTGTTTATTCCTGGAATGCACAAACCTTGCAACTGCAAAGGGTTCAGTGGAACACCAGCCATCTGCATTTGTGCAAGCTGGGTATAAGGCAGGGCCTGTACCTGCTGCAAGAGAGTTCCCGGAGCAGCCAGGGTGCCAACAATGTTTGGGATGGTGTTTCCAAGGACTTGTTTAACTGGTGGCCTTACAGAAGTATTGGAAGTTGATTGTGGACATGGTTTCTGTCGTCTTGAATCTGGTTTTAGGTTGAATATTTTGAAAGCATCTGGAGGCAGATCATCAGATACTGTCTTTGACTGTGGAGGGGTTGACGACATTTGTGTTGGAGCAGGAGAGGGAGTTCTCGACAAATCAAGAGGACAATTCCTGAATAACAGGGACTTTCGATGGGCTTGTGCTGCTTGTGACTGACTGTGCTGGATATTAGCATTCACAGATGAAATCATTGGAGCAGCAGAACTAGGTCTTGGAGGTGGTTGAGGCCTTGGCATACTCGAGTAGCTTGGAACCTTTAGAACTGGTCTTGAAGCAAATAACGATGGTTGGCTAGTATTTAACATAGGACTACTTCTGCTAGTTATAGGACTACTTCTGGAACTAAGCAAAGCCTCCCGAGAGAACTGAGGACTACTTCTTGGATTAAGTGGACTACTTTGAGCATTCAGGGGACTATTCCTTTCCAGTTGTGCAGCTTTTTCCTTTTCTCTTTCTCTTTCTGCAGCTCTCATGTGAAGCCTATGGAGCTTATCCGTCATAGAGAAAAGTGAAGACTTAGGTCTGCATATTTGTAGTTCTTTGATCTTTTCTGCCACCAATGGTCTGTCTGCTAAAGATATGGATGTTGTTTGTTGTGTTGGCGTAGAAGAAATATGTGTCTTTGCAATGTGTCCCTCTGCTTGCTGAGATGCAGTCGTCTTGGGAAGAATAGGTACACCAAATCTCTTGAGTGGAGGTGGAGGTGGAGGTGCTGTGTTTACCACTATCTGTTTATTTGCTGTGACTGGGGCAGTGGTGGTTTGGGTGACAGATGCAGTAGTTGCTGTTGAGACACGCACTGTTGTATCCACTGACACAACTGATGAGGCCACTGCAACAGCTGCCGAGTGGGAAATGACATTTGAGGAGTCAATAAGACTAGCAGGGCTACTGATTGCAGTTGTTGGCACTGCTGGGACTACAACGTCACCATCTTCTTCCACAATATTTGCATTGGCGTTCACAGGGTCATCAACACTTTCACAGTCCATCATCAGTTCCTGAGCTTGTTCAGGACTTGACTTTGTAGAGCTTTTTGCTTTAGGGGGTGAGAACCTTGTGCTAGTTCCAACAGGAGTTGAAAACCTTGTGTTTGCTACCATAATGCCTTTTGGCTGTGAATGTGCTGGTTGAATTGGTGTTGAAAATCTTGGAGGTCTTAGAGCGAGTCTTGGTGCAGTAGTAATTCCTCCAACACCTTGTGATATCAGTGGGGGTCGACCTCTCTTTGATGATTGCCCTGTAGACCTGATTGCAGATGGTCTAGAAGGGTTTCTACTTTCTCCCACAACTAAAACATCATCTTCAGACTCATCATTCACTACTCCTATGGAAGGTTTTGGAGCTATTTTTCTATTGGTATCAAGTTTAGCACCTTTGTTAGTGTTCACTTTATCATTGTAAGCACCACTTTTCGAAATAGATGGTATTCTCAAAAACAAATCGTCTTCAATAGCCACAGACAAAGGATGGTCATTTGGATCTTGGTTGTGCTCTTTCATGATGTGGGCAAACACTACCTCATCTGACTTGTCCTTGAACGTCTTACACAATGGACACACTTGAACAAAGGCATCAGGATGTTCCCTCTCTAGATGTCCAAAAGTATAGTCTAGTGATGGCATATGTGCCTGACACTTCAAACACATGTATATGTCTTTCTCAATAACAAATGTATTGCCTACTTTGTTACACTCCACACCAGATGGAATCGCAAGCACTTGAACAAACGTCTTTGCAGTGTCCGAGAGAGACACTTCATTCTTTGCACAGTTAGAAGGGTGCACTTTTTTTACATGTTCATGCACATTTACCTCAGTGGTGAACTCCGGCTTTTGTGAATTAAAGCCTTTACAATAAGGGCAAGTAAACAGAGCAATTTCACTGTGATAATTTTTCAAATGTTCTACCATAGCAGACAGATAGGGAGAATGTATGTTACATTTCATACACTTGTATGTGCAAGTTATTCGCTCATTTCTCAGAACCAAAGCATCAACATCAACCTCAGGCAGGTTATTGGCTCCACGAGATGTCTGACTAGTGTTTCGGGTTGGCATCCTTTTCCTTGGAGGCTCCACAGCTGGTTCAGGGTTCTGATCACGTAAACTGACAACATCAACAATTTTTAAGCTTGAGACTCCAGAGTCATCATGGCCAGTGTCATCATTTATGTCTGTTACCATGGCACCTTTCTCTGCACCTGTATTTTCTTGATCCAAAGTAGCTTTCTCTTTCTCCATTGATGGAACAGCATCATTCCTGAAACAGAAGCATATACGAGTCAAACACTATGTAAATCCGTAATATATAATAGTGCCAAAATAATTTTGTTTGAAATAACTGAAAAACGGGCATTATAGACTTTTACCATGTGTAAAGTGTCACATACACACTCTTGTTATTGGTCAGATTACAAAACAGCATTTACAAAGAAAATAAGCATGGAGGTTTCAAAAAAATATGTTGTTTTTCAAATCGTAATTCTCAATCATAATTTAAAATAAGTGAGATAAAATGTTACATCTCATCAGCAATACTACAGCCTTAATGTGATGCTTGATTACGTATACTTTAATAATTACACAATACAAATCATAAAGGATATTATTAAATAATAATTTTCCTTGGTCTTTCTTTGGTGATTTTAAAACATGTAAACCAGTAAACATCAGAAGATATGCAAAAATTAAGAAATATCATTTAAGAACTGCTTACACTGAGGATGAATCTGACAGGCTTTTCCCATCACCTTCACTTGCAGCCTTGTTATTAGTTGAAGAAGCCTTTGGTTCAAGAATATTTGCTTTCTCGTTGCCACTCTCTTTCTTTGATTGCTCTGTCTCAACACACATGCTGTCTGTTTTATCACTGGCAGCTTTGTTGAGCTTTTCTGCAGCCTGCTTTTCAACAGAAGTAGCACCTTTGGTTTCACTTTCGACTGTAACTGGTTGATTGTCACCAAGGTTACACACAGAATCACTGTCCACTGTATTTGACACAGTTTCATTTTCAACTGTCGTTGTGCTGTCTGCTTCTGCAGATGTTTTGTTTTTCCACCCTTCTTGCACATACAGGAAGTCCCTGGCTCTTTGATAATGAGCTTTCCGCGGGTTTTCGCTGTTAGAATCGTCGCCAACATTGGTTGTAGAGAACAAATTGTTCATTCTGTCAAAAATATTACCTCTATCCTCAAGCTGTGATTTCTCTGCTACCTTCATCTGTTCCACATCGTAGAAGTTTGGTAATTTCCTGTAAGACTGAGGCCTTGAAGGATGTGTTGTTTGGTTGTGACTCATAACTGTTTCTTCAGAGTTAAAATAAGCATCTGCACACAAGATACATGCATACAGATTTTCAACTGAATGCAAGTCCTTTGCATGTTGCTGCACATCCTCCAAGATATCTGTAGAATAATCACAGTGGGTACACATAAAACGCTTTGCATTGGGAGATTTCAATGACTTGCTGTCCACTAGGAAAGATATGATGACCGGCCCCGATGCTGTACTGCCACTCACTGATCCTGGATCTACAGGCTTCAGGACATTCGTTTCTACTGGCACCTTTGGTGCTTCTTCTATCACATGATATAATTCACTTTCAATTAAGTCTTTACTTTTGATTACCTTTGACTCTTTCCCATGATGTTCATTCTTTGAATGTGCTGAAGCTCCAACCATAGAGGCAAATATTTTATTACAATGGCCACATTTGAATGACAGACCAGGAATATGACTGTACACATGAAATTCCATTGTCTTCTGAACAGCAGAGGAAAATTCACACTTGTTACAAACATACTTCACACCTGATTTTCTATCACCAGATAAATGCTTCAGTCTAACACTTTCTGGTACAGTATGGGCATTCACTACTGGAGCAACAGTGGCAGGTGGAGGTACAGCAACTGGAGTCACCTTTGTTATGCTCTCATCTGCCTTAGTATCTGTCTTCTTGGACGTCTTGGAAGCATCTGTAACTTTAGACTTCGGCTTTTCTTTCTTCTTAGACTTCAAAAATTCAACAAAGCTTCCAACAAAGCCTTCTCCATCAAGTTCCTCCACATTTTTCTCTGTTGTAGGTAGCTCTGGAGTTGGTGTGTCGTCCTGTTTCAATTTCAAAAGTTGGGCAACTGTCAAACCATCCTTATTTTTGTTTTTAGGTGGTCTACCCCTAGGTCTTCCAGATTTGAACTGACTCTTTCGGCCTTTCATCATTCTCTTCTTTTTCACTGTAGCTGGTGCAGGTGGAGAGGATATATCTGCACTCAATTCCATGCCTCCAGTCACACCAAGATCTGATTGCTGTGAATTGCTCTGGCTCTCATCTTCAGATTGATTTGTTAAATTCAACTGCTTAACAAAGTCTACAAGTTTCACTGAGCATGGTGTGCATAGTTCCATAAGCTCCTCAAAGTTTCCTGCTTTCTGTACATTTGTTATACCAACTTCTGCAATGTTGCTTTCCTTAAAAGCAGATTTAGCCAGGTTTTTCCTTTTGCCAATCTGCTTTTCAATTTTCCTGGCCAGTCTTGTGGCTTCATTTTTGTCATATTCTTCCTCAATGCGTTTCTGTCTCATTGCAATTATCTCAATAGGGGATCTAGAGATCTTGGGTCGCAATTCAAATTTCCTCACTGGTTTTCTACCAGGTTTACCCGACTTGAGTCTAATGGTGAGAGGTGGCACACGCTTTTCAGAGTCAACTGGAGATATGTCAGAGCTTGAGCTGAAGCTAGCATCTTCCACTTCATTTGTTTCAGTGAAAACATCATTTTCTTTTTCAAACTGCTTGTCTGATACCTTGTCCTCAGTGACCTTGGATCCATCAAGATTACATTCAACTGTGTCCAGGATATGCTCCATGACAAGTGCAATGACATCAACTTTAGAGTCTTCTTCACATTTTTCATTAAAGTTTGATTCAACATTAGGAATTCCATCCTCTAAAGCAACATCTGCAATTAAGCTATCATCTTCTTCACTGAGACGTGTGACTTTGAATTTACCTTTATGTCTTTTAAGCTTCATTTTTATGCCACCTGGTTCACATTTGTGTTCCTTATCCTTTGACTCAACATCACTAATTGCATCCATTTGGTCATTAGAACCAATGTCAGTGTCTGATTTAATTACTTCTGATTCATCACATTTTTCAGAGTCTTGACTCTGGGTGTTAACAATGTCATCAACAACAGCCTGCAGACAAGCCCTAATGGTCTCATCTGAAACCTCCTCTATATTTGTTGATTTTTCTTCTTCTTTCGAGGATACCAACTGCACAGGTTCAGAGTTGTCAATTTCCATCTTGTCCACATTATCTACATCTGGTTGACAGGGCTGAGTTACACATTCAGACACCTTCTGAGGTTCGGACACCTTCTGAGCTTCAGAGATCTTCTGAGGTTCAGCTTCCTTACAAGTTTCATGTATCTCACTTTCAATACCATCAGCTTTATCCTTATATGGCAACACTTCTCCCTCACTCTGAACTGCCTCAACATCTTCTGCTGTTTCACTTGACTCTGTTTTGATATCTTTGGTTTCTTCATTAGGCAGTGTGACAGAGCTCCGCTGTGTCATCTGTGTAGCCTCATTGTTCATGTCACTGCTTTCAACTACTGGTACTGGTACTGTATCAGGCACCTCATTAATGGCAACAAATGGTATTACTTCTTCCTGACAGACCATAACATCACCATCCATGGATTCTAAACTGTCTAAAACACCTTCCTCAGGACAAACTTCTTCTATTACAGTATCAATATCAGAAGTCACTGAATCGCCCACTACATCCTGTTCTTCTGCCATTACCCCTGCCTCAAAAGTAGCAAGTTCTAAAACAGGTGGTTCGAGGTCTTCATTGCTGGGAGCAGGGCTGATCAAATCCTTTATTATCGTTAGGTCTGGATGCTGCATTTCAGGTGACAATGGAGAACCTGTTCCAGATTCTTGTTCGGAAACCACAATCCTCAGAGGTGTGATAACTGGTGGTTTTCTCTCTTCCACTTGTACAACAAGATCAGTTTCCCGTCCTGCTGATTCTTCATCAATCACCTTCTTAGCTTCCAGCAAAACTGATGGTTTATCTTGACACTGTTGAATGGTTCTCTTGCGAGTAGTCTTATACATCTGAGAAGCTTTTAATATTCTTCCTCCTCTTACTCTACTGAATGGCCTGTGTTTCTGATCAGATATAAGAAGCTTGTGTGTATTTTTAACTTTGAGAGATTTTACAATAGGCTGTCGGGATACTCCAATTTTTGGTCTGCCTGGTTTCCGTTTCACATCACCTGACATGCCAGTTGGTTTGAAACTAATTTCAGAGTCATCTTCCTCCTCAAAGTCAAGCCCAGAAAATGTATAAGGATCAGTTTGACATTCTTCATTCCTCACGATCCGTTGCTTCTTTACTGTTTCTTTGGACATTTTAATCTCAGTAATTGCATTGGCATCAACTTTAGTTAGTTGAGGTTGTCGTTCGATATTCTCTTCAATTTCTCCAGATTCACTTACCTGTGAATCTTGTGACACTAATCGCTTCCTCTTTGGAGGTCTTCCTCGTTTCTTTGGTTTTTCATCATCTTGCTGGTCTCCAGATGCGACAGAAACAGATGTTGAGCTGTCAGGAAGTGCATTGTCTGTTTGCTTTCTGATTGTCCTCTGCTTAGTTCCCTGTCGTTTGATGACAATGCTTGTTTCGGATTCATCAACTGAGGAATCACGTGAATTTCCTGAAGCCTTTGATTTCTTAACTAATTTCTTTCCAGAGCCTATGAGAGGGGATGGACAATCAGCCCAACTTGAATCCATGGACACAGACGTTTCTCTAGCCTGAGATTTTGAACTGGTTGAAGTTACACTGAACTTTTTCCTCCTCTTACCTGTGTTCGCCACTTCGTTGTCTGAATCTTGCAATATGGAAGCATCAGAATCATTTTGATCAGTTTCTGCTCCACTTGCAGTGTCATTATTTTCTTTCAGTTGCCTCTTAAGAGACTTTTCATCAAGGAGTTCAAAATCAGCACTTAAAGTTCTCTTTCTTTTAGGTTTTGGAGCCTTTGATACCTTCTTCCCATGCCTCATAAGCATTTCACCTATTTGGCTCCGTAGTTTCCTTTCAGGCTTGGCAATCAACTGAGATCTTTTCTTTCCAAATTGTCTCTTAGAACCAGAGCTGGAAGGCTGTGTGTTCACTGATTTGGAGAGTTCACTATCTGGGTTTGCTTCTTTTTTCCCTGATTGTGAGCTATCTTTCACTGTACTACCATGTCCAGTCTCCCCATCTTTGTCCTGAGTAGTGTCAGCTTCATCTTTTAACCGCTTTTTGGGCTTTGGAGGCCTTCCTTTACGTTTTAATCCAACTGTCTGGTCCTTTGAGTCATCCTTGACCTTTGTCCTTGTCTCCTTCTTAGTAGTCTTGGATGAAGTCGATGCAGAACCGGTACCCCCAATTTTTCGTCCAGAGACACTGGAATGTCGCAACTTTGAAAGAACCAGAACCTTCTTTATTTTGAAGGATGGGGTATCCCTCATATTATTTAGCTCCCTCTGAAACCAAAGAAAGAAAGAAATATTACCCACCTTCCATTGAACAAAATTTACTGTGCACACAAATTCATATAAGAGTGTGTGAGTGAGTTAAAATTTAACGTTGCATCAACATTTTGTAGCCACATAGCGAAGAAAAGAATTTTTCACAGCTGCAAGCCCATCAAATAAATACATCAAACTTATACATAAAAGCCAATTTATCAAACATACTTCAGCGTAAAAATACAATACTGTTTATAACATGCCATAAGCCACCCGCAACCAAAGCTTGGCCACCTTGCTGGGCATCATGAATTCAAGACAAGGAATCAGTTCATACTTGGTACGTCCATGCAGGTAGCAAAAGTATTGTAAGTCCCCATGGTCCCCAGTATGGTGATCTACCTTCAGTTGTTGGATATCATAGCCTGTTTTTATAATGTATTGTTATGTATCGTAATATCAATTTTCTGATTCCATACTAGTTTTAAATATTTCTCTGTGATAAGTCTAGTTTTACTGCCCATCGTTGGCAGGTTTTTTATACGTTTTCAAAGTATTTATAATATTAAACCTTTGACAGTCACGGTATGGCTGAAATATTGCCGATGTGACTTAAAACTTAACTCACTCACTCACTCATACTTGGTACCATAATACCAGCTTTATATGATGATATATGTGTATATAAAAAAACTCCTATCATAAACATGATAAAGTACTGGAACTGTAAATACACTATTTTTATGATCTTTCATTTATTGTCATGATGCCAAAATAATAAATACTTTGTTTTTGGCAACATGTCCTTGAAGTGAGTTAGTAGTTGGTGTCTTTAGTTCTTTGCCTTAATTAGTATCTCAGAATTTTAAGGTAATTAAAATACACAATAACTGAAATATATAAAATCATTTTGAAACTTAGATAAAGTAGGATAAATGTTTCAGGTGTGCTGTAAATAAAGGAATGCCTGGAATTTTGTAACCCAGATTAAACAACTTTCGAGGAAGAGTAATATGACTCTCGTTGAAATCTAATTAAGTCATTGGCAAACATATATCACTGAAGTACAATGGATTTGAACATGAGCAGGATGAACATGGAGTAGGAATATTCCAAAGAAATTCCCAAAGAATCCGAACAAGTTACCAAGACATTACTGTCGGACACTAATGCCCCTGGCAAAAAGAAATTACCCACATTACATTCACCATATTTCCCTTTTCAGATGGGTTAATATAAGTCTTCAAAGAATGATTGCACTGACTGTTACACATATTGTCTGAATATTAATGTCCTCAAGATCAGAAGTTATACTTATTAACAATGCTCTCTGCATATCTGGACAACACATCTCACGAGTAAAAATTAAGGTATTGGCATGTACTGTATTGTGATTATGGTGGCATTACATAACCCTGGAATAAATATGCAATCCAAGTATTTACTTTTTAACTTGACCCGCTAGATTGTGACTGATCCATAAAATTGCCTGATGGGCATGACTCCTGACCGTTGTTCAACAACAAGTTTTCTTTAAATGAGCCTGTTTCAAATACACACCTCCTCTAAACAGATTTTATGTTCAAATTAAACCATAAATGACAACCATCTGAAGATAAACAGGTGGATATTCATCAACATTTGTTCAAGTCACCATCCAGAATCAAAACACATCAACAGGAAGAGCAGAAGAAGAAATATCATCAAATGTTTTACTATTTGTAGCAATTCTTAGATATCAGATCAACTCAAGCATGCCTTAGGTCGTAGGACATTAGGGAACCCCGTCAAAAGTTTTAAACTGAAGTTCTCCTCTAAAATCCACTGACATATCACACCAATACAAAACTAAATTTCAAAATACTCAAAACTCTATACTTGACATTCAAAGTGATAAATATACCAAAAACATTTAAGTGTACACAAGAATTACGTGTTGTCATATAGACTATTATTAGCTGTGCTTACTAGATCGAACAGAATTTAACAAGACTTGGGCTTTGGACTAGTGGCCTACCAAAGTCACAGGCTGGATGGGTATATATAGTTACAATGATGTGTACAGTTCAAAGATTTTCAACCATCAATTGTCAAGTGAACAAGCTTTCTATCATGACATGCTTCCTAGGGCCTACTCCTGTTTTTCTTAATCAACATAACTCGTGAAATGAATCAATTTACACCATGTACACAAATATACCAACCAAAAACTTACTTTCTCATTTTCATCTTTCTACTCAATCAATTTACTTAATCTAGTTTACAATGACATGAAACAGATGTCAGTTGAAACAAGCTGTTAAAAGTTTCCTAAATTGATACAAAACATGACTCAACATATTGACAAAGATATTTTTCAAATATTTCATTATGAAAACTAACATTTGTGGAAAATTTTGAGAATTTAACAACTGTTAACCAACAATCCTAGTCATACACAACTAAAAAATACTATATCAAAGATTATACCTGCCTGACTCAAACTGCAGCTAAGATGCCCATTTCTGTTAACAACACATCACAAAATATGGCACACACATAGACATATCCAGCTTTGCCTCGCACTACACAAATATGATTAATGGCAATGACAGGTGTATTTTATCAGGGCCTATTATGTGAAGTGCAGAAGTGTAAAGCTATATGGTGAAAGTAATCCAACAGCTGTGCACATCCTGGGTGGCACCAATGGGGCATGACAGTCTAACTCGGTATGCTGACATGTAATATTTTCACTTTCAAGCTCCTGACATATCATTAACAGTCTAGACTTGGGTATTCTTTATAGCATGTTGATAGTCAAAAAGTGATGTCAGTGTTTCGATAGTCACAAGTCTATCTTAAAATGAGGGAGTTATGATCACCAATGAACCAGAAAATCATTAAAATACTGCCAAAATGAATACCTTTTGTTTAAGTGTTTCCACATTGAGGATATTTGAAAGTCAGAAAAAAATATTTCTAGGATCCTCAGTTAAATAAAAAACATAGAAGAGAAATTCATGGACCCCTGAATCATGCCTAGTGTTGAACACTGGTATTGTAAATGATGTATGGACAAGGATCAACTGGATGTTTGTTTGTTTGTTGTTTAACGCAACACTCAGCAATATTCCAGCTATATGACGGTGGGCTGTATATAATCAATCTGGACCAGATAATCCAGTGATTGCCATCATGAGCATCAATCCACACAAGTGGGATACAATGACATGCATCAACCAAGTCAGCAAGCCTGACCACCCTATCCCGTTAGTCACCTCTTACGGCAAGCATGGGATGCTGAAGACCTATTCTACCCAGGATCTTCACAGGTCTCAACTTGACATACGATGCAATTCCCTACCTGTCTTCTACCACATATTTCCAGCTTTGTTCAGGTGAATATTTGACCTGCCTTTGCATGTGCTTGTGACAGGTGCCACTGAGGGGGCAGGATAGTCTCACCTTTTCAAAAACACCTGGTATCATTCCTATTTGATAGTGATTCACAAAAACGTGCTTATGATATAAACAGAAACAAACAATGGACTGTGCTTTCACAGAGATTTCTTATGATTAAGGGTTTTGTCACCTTTATTAATGTGAACCAGCTTTAACAACTGCAGAAACCTTGGACCTTCAGTGACATTTCCTTACATGAACTTGCATGGCAAACCAATGGTGCAAAATGTCAGCTAAAATCGTAATGGCACAGCGAAAGTCAGTGATAAATTTACTTTTCTACAGGTTGAATAAAATTGGACATGAAAAATGCATACCCTATGAATGTGCTTTATCATGCTTACGCAAAAATTCATTTACAAAATAAATATGAGGATTGATAATTTGAAAAGGGTATCTGTCATCAATCTTGATGAAAATAAATGGCAAATTCTCTAAATTATTATACAGCTCGTCATGCTTGTGGTGAAATGACACTCACCTAGTTCCATGATAGATCAAAGTAATACTCTTGAATTTCATATGTTTATTCAATATGCCACTACAACTTGGCAGCTGTAGAAACTAAATCCATTAATATATAACTAAATAGTCAAGGGTCTCTTGATAGATTGATATAGGGTTTCTCCCAGCAAGCAACCTTAACTGTTTAGAATATTTTTGCAGTCACTGCTTCAATACATGCACATTTTGTTCTCTAAAAAGAGTTAAATGTAATAATCAGAAAAGCTAACAGTGACGATGGAGTCTACCCTATTTCAATACAACATTGATACAAAGAATATTGTCAATCTTTTTATGCAAAGGAGAAGTGTTCCACAACTTTCTTTGCTGCTCATGAATCTCAACTTTAGCTGGTTCTTATGACAAAAACCTACTGGTACTGGTGATCTAGTCTGTCCTAAATTCTTCCTGGGGAAAGCGGAATTTAGAAAATACAATCAGGTATATGTGAGCACCAGAACCAAAGAGGATCATTTTTTCCAACCAAGGGTACAGAAAGGTATTTTTCTTTCAAGTGTGGCACAGGGCACTGATATAGATACTTGGGTGTGCCTTTACTAATTTAAGTGTGCAAAAATTATGTTCCCTAAGCATTGGTTTAAGGATGATTGTGTCTACTTGTGCAAAGTCCATTTCTCAACATCATGGCTTTAACATCAACAAAATCATCAGAAGGTATTTTTCCTAAATAAAATGTGATCTCTTAAAGCAGTGGGTATATACTTCAATCATGCCATTTAACCTGTCATTTACACTTTAACATTTATAATCAAACGATTTTTTAACCCTCAACAACCTTCTCTCAACTACAAAAAAATCTTGTAAATTTGTAAACCACATATAGCTCAATACCGTATTTTCTTGAGTATAGTGAGCACTTTTTTTCCAAAAAACACAGCTGTGTAGAAGGGGGTGCGCATTATACACGGATTAATGAGTTTTGATGTTTTTTCCCCCCATGGAAAGACATTACCGTGAGCACGTAACACCGGAAATACCATGTCAACAAAACCATACCGAAATTATTCATGTAATTACACTGTCTGGCTATAAAAAGTGTTCTTTGT